AAGAATTACCACGTTGACACGACTTATGTACGGTCACGATATAACCCACTACAGGTAAATGTTTATTGGCAAAAAGCAAAAAACACGTATTTTTTAATTATTTGCGAGCAATCGCATCGCGTAAGTGGAACTTATGTAGGAGTGCATGTTTAATGGATATTACAAAAAAATGTCACCTGAAGTATAGTTCATCCCCTTGAGGAGGTGCAGCATTGCTGAACAATATTGTGTTGTTGCCGTCATTTTACAGAATACGTTTATGCAAAGTTTTGTCGAAATCCCTCCACTGCACCTACGAAAAATATTTAAAAAACCGATTTTTCGCTAAACTTTGGGGGGTTGTTTCACTCCTTAATTGTGGACCATTGCAGATATAAAAAAACACGTGTCTCTTAGATTTTTGTGTTCTTCAACATATATGAAACTCAATAAGATCGGAGGCGGAAACTTGGGAATGTTCCCTTGTTAACCTAAATACGCGAGACGCTCGTGATCTATCGGATGGGTTACGTGGGACGTAACATGGGACACTTGGGAATGTTTCCTTGTGAGTAGGAGATAATTGTATACATTTTCCGAGCAGGTAATATGTTTGTTACATTAGACGTTACAAGGAAATTTGTAACAGTTATATTGCTACTTCCTAATTGTGTTTGGTGGGTTATTTGTTCTGCATTTCGCAATTCTGGTATTGTATAACCTATTACTACATTCTAAACGCAAAATGGATTACAGTACATATTGACTAATTTGTAAATCTCACTGTAGTAATATAATATACTAACCTGTGCCATTTTCGCTGAAATTTTCAACATGTTATTGCGATTCATATAACGTAAATAAAATCTAGATTACAAGTACCTAATTAAATGTACAATATGTAACAATATGATTATATATCCAGGTTGCTGCGTCAAAGCGCTTAAAGGGACTGGTAACTATGGCGGGTCCAGATGTCATTTGTGTCGGAGCAGGCAAAGAATGTCAGGAAGTTTTAAAGGTAATATTACCTTACATTGATCGTAATTACGTATGTGATAATTGTAAGTTATGGTTCTGTGGAACAGTTGGAATCTTGATGTTCTAAATACTGTTATTCATTTGCAAAAAATTACCGGCTTCGTTATAATTATTTACAGTTTAAATCAGTGACATTCAGATCTTAAACATAAATACGGTCGTTTCTACCCACAATCAAGAAATATGTGCCTTATCCCATTTAAACGTTTGAGTCCCAGGGGACGTTGAGATAACAGTGTCGAAAAATGCCGAACATCGCAACAGCGCTGTTTTAATCGAGTGCGAAGGAAGCCAAGCGGCGCGGTAGCGCTCGCTTTTTTAATATCTCTAAGAGCACCGTCAGTTGTCCATACTGTTCAAATGTACTGAGCTTTTCGACATGAAATGTAGTCAACGTGAATGCGTATGTATGTACAGTAAACATCACCACATTACAAAAATTACATCAGACCTATTAGAGAATTGCGTGCTTATTAGGTGCTATTTTAGTGTTACAACCCCAATTTTAATGCTCTACCCTATACCCAAAAAAAACGGTGGTGGTGCTGAGTGAACGTTCACTTAAAAAAGTGGTTATCAAAAAAATAAACGACAATGCAGTAATTAAGTGCTATTTAAGTGTTCTAGTAATATCCCACGGGTGGGTCCGAAATGCCACCCCTGTAAGAAAATCCTACCCCCGAGCATATTTGCCCCTAGAGAGATGCGGTAGAAATAATACAACTACGTGGACTATTTCAGCGCAGTAATTGGGTGCTATTTCAGTGCTCCAGATATATAAAAAAAACCGAGTATGAACTGCCCTCCCCCTATCACCTAAAAACTGCCCCCAAGCATATTTGCCCTCAGGAGAGAAGTGGTCGAAATAATACAACTACACGGACAGTTGCAGCCCAATAATTAGATGCAATTTAAGTGCTCCAGATATATGATAGACCCAAATCCGAACTGCCACCCCTTTCACCCAAAAATTACCCTCGAGCATACATGCCTCAAGAGAGAAGCGGTAGAAAATCAGAAATTTCATACGCTCTGTAAATGCGATAATGAAATGCTTTTTCAGTGCTCCAGGAATATTCCACAACTAAGTGCGTAGGTACTGCCACTCGTTTCAACTGGACACTAGACGTCAGTACATTTGCTTGGAGAGCAAAGTCTTAGAAGAACCCAAAATACTTACTCTTTTCTCGACGAAATTATTTAGTGCCAATTCAGTGTTCTAGAAATATGCTGCAAGTACATCGGAACATCTACCCCTTCTGTCCCTGAGCTACCGCCAAGAGTATTGATTTCAGAACGTATAATGTGAAAATATGAAAATTGAATATATATTTTTGTCATACGGTCCTGTACACGTTTTCGAATATAAAATGTAACGTGTGAATTTTGGGCCACCCGGTCACATGTTTGGCTGAGGGCCATTTAGCCCTTTTTCGGGACTTCGGAGCATTCCTGGTCCGACGGTCCCCGATTTGCGGGGAAACGTTGCGATAATATAATTTGTTCTAAACCTTTTTTTTCAGCTCTTATTTTTGCGATTGCGAATCCCCGAGAGGCGCCGCTCGGGAAACGCATTTTCCCCCTTCCTGGAAATTAATTTTTCTTTTTCTAGAGGAAAATCAGACATAAAATTTTGTGATCTCGAATATTGCCCTAAGTCCCCGTTTAGCCTGTCTTTCTCCGCGTAATCTTATATGTCGAGTGCCCTTTAAAATTTCTGGCGTGACTAATATCTTAAAGAATCTCTATTGTTTTTCAATATTTCCCGTCGATGAATTAATATTTGTAATTGCGAATTGGGCGTAAAAATTTATTGCGAACTTGGCGTAATATTTTATTGCGAATTTGGGCTGCGATATCCTTATGTTCATGACACATGTTTTCCCTATAATTTCTATTAATTTTGTCTATCTTGATTTTCCTGTGTATCTGATATATTTGTCGTCGAGCGAACAGCGAGCTAGTAATCGAACATATCTGAAATTTATTTATCTTGGACCAAAATTTAGCACCGTTAGAATTTCGAGTAATCGCGAACCTTTCTGAAAGTATTTATCTTAGACCACCATTATAATTATCTTTGAAGAGTAATCGCGAATATTTCTGCAATTATTTGTCTTAGACCCGAATTTATTAAAGTTAGAATTTCGAGTCAGTGAAGGATTATTTAACATTGAATTTTGGCTTTTAGAACATTGTAGGGACTAGTTAAGTTCGTCAAACTTATCGAGTATTCAGGCTCGATCCCGTTTCCTAATTTGTGATTTCCTGTTACCTCACCCCGCGTATTTCCTTCTATTTTCCTGAAGCTTGTAATTTTCTGAGAGCGCTTTTCGCTTCGCTCTCGAACGAGTCGGTCCTATATCACCCTGTAAATAGGACGGACTATCTTGGAAATTCATTAACGATCCCATAATATTCACGTTAAATTAAAACTATTCTCCACTTATTCGAGCGTTAAGTTATTTCATTGTCGGTCTGTCCAATTTTGCTTTCTTCTTTTTCCTCTTTTGTTTCACGTTAGGATCAAATAGTGGTGTCACGTAACCCGTAGTGTTTTGAGAAGAGGTCCGATAACTTTCCTTACCCCGCCCTCTCCGAATCTGGCGCCTGCGCTCTGAGCTAGCCGGCCGCGCCGCCCCGGTCGGCCGAGTCAAGGGCCGGCCGAGAGACGTTCCACCTAAATTCGGGATTTCGAGATTTTGGGAGATTTTGTGGCGAATTTTGGAGAATCGGCCTCCGTGGGAGGCCTGGCGCCCAACATTTTTGTTTAATTTGGGGAAACGGCTCGGAGAGTGCCCTGGTGGACTCGTGGGACTCGCGAGTTCGCGCTTCGGGTAGCCTCTCGAAGGGTCCCGGTGGGCTTCGGGAGGTTACGCATTGGTGGGGGAACGGTAGTCTCTCGGCAGGCCCCGCTCATAACGACCGGCCGAAGGTGATGTGCGCAAGAGGCCGAGGCGCAGCGGGCCTTGGCACGGGGTAGATAGACCCCGGTAGAATTATATATACATTTGCCACGTCACAAAGAATATCCCTTCAAAAAACACGTTCGGTGTAAAAAAAACTTTGCCAAATACATTTTTATTTC